GGTGGCACTGACTGGGGAAATGGGCACTGTGAGCCTGACACAGAAGCTGGCAGCAGTGGCAGACTACTAAGTGCATTTACATTACATAGAAAAATAAAATAAAAAAAAAGCATACCCTTATCCCTAACCTAGCTATGCTTTTCCCTATCTTATGAACAGCAGCTACACTTTCCCTCCTCTTACTAAGCATGCAGCTTGAGAATGAATCTAAAATGGATGCTGTCCAGTAGGTGGGAGGGTCTGCTAGGGAGGCTGTGCTGCTAATTGGCTGGAATGTGTCTGCTGACTGTGAGGTACAGGGTCAAAGTTTACTCAATGATGACGAATAGGGGGCGGGTCGAACCGCGCATATGTTCGCCCGCCGTGGCGAACGCGAACATGCTATGTTCGCCGGGAACCGTTCGCCGGCGAACCGTTCGGTACATCACTACTCGCATTGATGTGCAATCCTGGATGAGCTGCACTACCTGAGCCACCGGTGTGGGTTGTAGACTCCGTCTCATGCTACCACTAGAGTGAAAGAACCGCCAGCATTCAAAAGTGACCAAAACATCAGCCAGGAAGCATAGGAATTGAGAAGTGGTCTGTGGTCACCACCTGCAGAATCACTCCTTTTATTGAGGGTTTCTTGCTCATTGCCTATAATTTCCACCTGTTGTCTATCCCATTTGCACAACAGCATGTGAAATTGTCACTCAGTGTTGCTTCCTAAGTGGACAGTTTGATTTCAAAGAAGTGTGATTGACTTGGAATTACATTGTGTTGTTTAAGTGTTCCCTTTATATCTTTGAGCAGTGTATATGTCTTGCCGCTAGGCATAACATTTTTTTAATTCATTCATCCTTTGTATTTCTATAGAAATGTAATTCCCCAAACCTTATATAGAGGCCTGTGTATATTATTATTCTTATAAATGTCCTTTTCTTTTCCGTGTGTCACCATGCCTGATACTTATTTCTTAATGTCTTCTTGATATATATTCTTGTTGAGACTTTTTACATTTTTGTGCTTTTGTTAAATTGACTTTGGGCTCTCAGTGTTGTGGTGTGCGATATTGTTTTAAAAAAGTGTTGACTCTTACATCTAATTCTTTCAATTTACGTTTTCCTTTTACATAGCTGAAAAGAGACTTGCGTCCATAAAGTTCAGCCTTCTCCACAAATGTTTTTGCTGTTGATCCAAAAGAAGGCAAAAAACCTTAGTCTGAAGCGCTTCCAATTTTGCAACAAACTAGGAAAAAATTCCTTCTTGACCCCAAAATAGCAGTGAGATGTCTCCTTGGATCAAGCAGCTTTTACCCCACTAATTAGAAATTATATCCCTGTATCTTGTGTTTTTGAAAGTATTTATCCAATTGTAGTTTAAACATATGTATGGACTCTGACAAAACCACCTCTTCAGGCAGAGAATTCCATATCCCTATTGCTCTTACTGTAAAAAAAAAATTTTTCTTTGCCTTAGATGAAATCTCCTTTCTTTCAGCATAAATGTGTGACCTTGTGTCCTATGTATAGCCCTGTTTATGAATAGATTTCCAGATAAAGGTTTGCACTGGCCCCCTAATATATTTTTATAATGTTATCATAACCCTCTCAGGTGCCGTTTTCCAAACTAAACAGATTTACATTTTTTTATCTTTCTTCGTAACTAAAATGCACCATTCCTTTTAGCTCGTCTCTGCACTTTTTTTAGTGCCATGTTTTCTTTCTTTAGAACAGGTGCCCACAATTTCACAGCATAATCAAGGTGTGGTCTTACCAGCGATTTATAAAGAGGCAAAATTATATTTTCATCCAGAGAATTTATGCCCCTATTTATACATGAAAAAAACCTTATTGGCCTTAGCAACTGCAGATTGACATTGCATATTGCTGCCTAATTTGTTGTCTATAACAATTCCCAAATCCTTCTCGTGTGTGGTTATCCATAATTCACTACCATTTAGGGTGTAAATTGCTTGTGCATTCTTATCCCCAAAGTGCATAACTGTACATTTTTCTACGTTAAATTTCATCTGCCATTTTAGTTCCCAGTCCCTTAATCTATCCAAATCCCTCTGCAGCAAAGCAATATCCTGCTCACATTTTATTACTTTACAAAGTTTTGTGTCATCTGCAAACACTGATACATGGCTTTCAATGCCTATTTCAAGATCATTTATAAATATGTTAAATACAAGTGGTCCCAAAACAAAAGCCTGAGGGACACCACTTACCATTCTTATCCAGCCTGAAAATTTACCATTAATGACAACTTTTTGTACTCTATCCTTAAGCCAATGTTCTACCCAAGAACAAAAATATTCATCTAGACCAATTTCTTTTAGTTTGAAGACCTATTTAACCTATTGTGAGGAACCGTATCAAATGCCTTGGCAAAATCCAAGTAGATCACATCCACTGCAACACCCTGATCTATACTTCTACCTACTTCTTAGTAGAATGCAATTAGGTTAGTTTGACATGACCTACGTTTCATAAAACCATGCTGATTATTGCTAATAACAAAGTTCTTCCCAATGAATTCCTGAATATTATCCCTTAATAGCCCTTCAAATATTTTCCCAGTTACAGAAGTTAAGCTCACATGTCTATAATTTCCAGGCAAGGATTTTGAACCCTTTTAAAATATAGGAACATCTGCCTTCCTCCAATCTTTCGGTACAATACCTGAAACAAAAGAATCTTGAAAAATTAAATAGAGGTTCACTTATTTTCCCACTTAGCTCCTTAAGTACTCATGGGTGAATACCGTCAGGCCCCGGAGCTTTATTTACATTAATTTTCTTTAACTGCTGTAGCACCTTGTCTCGAGTCATCCAATTGTAAGTTATATGCAAGTTTTTTGCAGCATATCTCTTGCCATAGGATCCTCATTAATATATACTGAAGAAAAATCGTTATTTAAAATTTCTGCCTTTTCCTGGTCTTCATTAGCTAACAAACCCAAATCCAGTGTACCTACACTTTCATTTTTTTTTTTTATTTTAGAATTGATGTACTTGAAAAAAATTTTGGGGTTGGTTTTGCATTCTTTGGCCATCAATTTCTCATTTTCTAGTTTAGCCACTTTAATTGCCTTTTTGCAAGCATTATTGGCTTCCCTATATCTTATATAGGATGCCTCTGATTTGTCCGATTTAAATGCCCTTTTCTTATTTTTAATCTCGTTTTACGTCTCTACTAAGCCACATTGGTTTTAATTTGTTTCTTTTATATTTATTACCCAATGGTACATACTGAGAAATGTACCTTTCTCATATTTGTTTGAATAGTTTACATTTATCCTCAGTGTTTTATCACTAAGGAGTTTATGCCAGTCGATATGTTGTAGAGCTGCCCTAATCTTATTGAAACTGGCTTTTTAAAAAATTATACGTTTTAGTATATCCCACGTGCTTTTGCTTTTTTTGAGTTTATTAAAAAAAATTACCATATTGTTGTCACTATTTCCCAAATGCTTTCCCATTTTATATTGCATATTTATTTGAAACCTAATTTTTAAACTCTAAAAAAAAATTATATATATGATTTTTTTTTTCCCTTTAAACAAGCTATGGACTTTATCAATTTTAAATGTGTCTATGCTTCAATAAAAAAAATGTGCAACTTACTAGTATATCCAGGATTTTGTGTCCTAATATTTACACTATTATTAATTTCAAATTATTCCATAAAATCGTCACACCAACTTTTCAGCCCTCGTCCGGGGCTTTCTTCAGGATGAACTGACAACACAAAACTAACAAACGGTGGTGTATTATATAGCCCATAAGAAAAGAAATGAACTCACCGCAGGTGAATGTGATTGGAGTATCAGTGTCTATCCAGATCATGTGCGCAAGTGTGTACATTTTCTACCCGGAAATGGAGAAAAAGTATGTATCCTGGTTTCTATGGTTAATCAACAGTGTAGATAATCCCACGGATCCATCGTTATTCAAGTATCCAATGATGCATGTAAAAGATATAAACAGACATAGTACAGTGCTGATTTCAAAATATTTTCACGCTTTAATAGTTGCACGTAGCATGAGAATATTTTTAAATCAGCACTGTACTATGTCTATTTATATCTTTTACATGCATCATTGGATATTTGAATAATGATGGATCCGTGGGATTATCTACACTGTTGATGAGCCTGAATATTCCCTCATTTTGTGAGTGCAACATTTAAATAAGGATTTCACTGTGATTAACGTTATTACCCTATGAGTCCTTTTTGCTTTCTCTGTTTATATTGTTTAGGTATTTCTTGTTTTTTCGCTTATATTGAGAGGAATCCTTTGACATAACTAACTTAAGAGTAATTATTTTTTTGTATTATTCATTTATTGCACCTGGGTGGTCTATATTTACCTGTTTGGTTACTACGGTTACATACTGACACCCAATATGCCGTGGTAACATTGGAACATGAACAAAGTGTATAAAGGATATAACGTATCTATGAGAATCAAGTGTGCAAGTGATGTCCTAAAGTTAAGAGAGCCCAAATATATGTACATGTTGAAGACCTCATATAGAGGAAAAAATGGGCGAGACTAAAGGTCCGTCCATAAATAACTAAATGCGGGAGCCTGACCGATTAACAGAGCAGACGTGTGGAACTCGAGCTCCTGCTAAACGGGCTAAAATCAGGGCACAATCGACGGCTAAACAGCCCAAGGACCTACCAGGGTGCATCACCCACATCGGGGGTGCTCTCCTGAACCTAGCAATACCTCATAGACGCCCGTCGAAGCCAGAAAAGCGGACCACTAAACACGGCCTGCGGGAGCTGGAGGCGTGAAGGGGAAGCCGCTCTCTCCGACACTGGACCCGCTAGGTGACATAGCTGGTCTCCAATCCCCCCCCTCTGGGCCGGTGGGGGTTATCCCGGTCCCCACAGGACACGCAAACTGAAACTGCAGATGAGTTCCCCAGCCGCACTGCCTGCAGGGCCACTGACAATCCGAGGCACACCAAAGATGGCCGCCCAGCAGGGGCCAGGGACAACGGGCACAAACCCTCATCCATTCACTCACCCCATGGATACCTTTGATTCACTCTGCTTGACCTTCTGGTCCATACTTCGCCACCGCGACATGCCGCACCGCCAAGCAGCCAGAATGGTCGCCTCATGGGTCCGCCCGACAACTCGCCGGCGCCATTACAGGTATCCACTCCAGGCCTTCACGGTGACCACGCGGCCGGGCCGGGGCCAAAACCCACCACGCGGGAAAGCGACATCATACCACCCAAGCGCATATACTCGCCCCTGCACAAGCTGCAATCGGGCCAACGAATATCCCCCACAACCAAACCGCTTGCTTAAACGCAGAGATCCGGACCAGAAGGGAACAAATCTACGCCCCGAGGGTATGGCGGATCACCGCAATGTGGACCAGAAGGAAGCTTGCCGCACAAGTACGGAAGCTGGATTCAAGCCAAGAGGCCCCACCGACAAGATCTATGCCAACGGGACTTGAGTCATTACAGTAAGAGGCATAGGCTAAGGCGCCCACCGCATTGCTTCACAGCCGACAGGCCCTGCTCTGAACTGTAGGAACAGGACTCTGGCTGCTGATATGCAAGCCTGGTAAACCAGGGCACCTTGCTCATGAATACTATAAGGAGATGCTGTTGTGTATATTACTTAATCTGGACTAACAGTTGACACCTCTACAGCCTACAAATAAGTTGCCATACTTTTTTTTTTTTTTTTTACACCTCACACACTAGGCTTTAGTGCAGGACACCAGTTCACTCAACATAGGCTGACTCAAGAGAAACAAAGGCCAATAGACAGATACTTGTTAGGCTCAGCAGCGGTTCAGGTATGCTCTATTATTTTCTCAGTTACTCGATACAATAGACTCTTTATTCCTACTTGTTTAAACTCGTTGTTACTGCGTGTTCCCTGTGGTTTCACACCCAGTTACTAGAAATAGCATGACCATTTTAATGCCAAGTTAGTACAGCAAAGACAAGCGACCCAAAACCAGGTCTAGACGTGACCAAATAGCGAATAAACAGCAGAGGCTGCAGAGATCGACCACTATTTTAAACTGAGACACATAGGCGGTGTATATGACTGTTGGGGAAAATATTATGTATATATCTGTTTAATATGTGCTTGATTAAGTCTGTGTGTATGGGAGGTCAGGAATTATCTTCAAAGGGAGTTTCTGTTTAGATAGTTGGAAAGATACAGCACCTGAAAGGCACCAATCACATTTACATATCAACTGGTCTTCAAAGGAGTCCCTATCTAGGAAAACACACCTTGGGTTAGAGGAAAAGGGATGGCTGGGAGAGTTAACACTTAAATAAAATAACAGAATAGACAACACTTTGGGCCTTGGGAAAGTAAATCACATTTACATATCAACTGGTCAAAGGAGTCCCTATATAGGAAAACACACATTGGGTTAGAGACAAAGGGATGGCTGGGAAAGTTAACACTTAAATAAAATAACAGGATAGACAACACTTTGGGCCTTGGGAAAGGAAATCACATTTCCATGTCAAATTGAGCTGAGGAATTGGCTATTTACAACATGGGAACCAATTCCTTTAAAAATAGAAGATACTGACATCACATTAGATTAGGTTTGGTAAGACACACAAGCTGCACATAACATGCACAGCACATACACAATGTAGCCAATATTATTATACACAATGTAGCAGATAGTATTAGATAGATGGAATGTATGCGTGTTGTGAATGTATTGTAACTGTAATACTAGAACTCTGTAACATTCTTCTTCTGTAATATTTAATTGGGCAGATTCTAAGTAAAGATTTCTCTCTGGTAAGAACTATGGTGTTGGCTGTTTATTTGTAATATTGGGTAGAATACGTTAGTAGTTCTAGTCATATATTTATCTGGATAAGGGGATAAAGATATATGTTAGTTCTTGGAAGAGGTGACACAGGGATATTACATTCACTATTAAAACACAACGCAGAGTGGATTTCTCTCAAAAGGATACCAATTGGAAGTATTGGTGGTGAGAGAAGGATTATACAACAATGACCAGGTCTCTCTAAATAACCAAAAATACACTGTTTTTCATGCCGCACAACTACTATAAAATGATTAATGCTACACCATGTCTTTCTACATAACTAAAAACTGTACATTGTTTTTCATGCCACACAACTACCATACAATGTTTAATGCCGTAAAGGAACCTGCTGATGTGGCAGTGCATTCCTACATGTCTAAGCTGTGTACGAATAAAATAAAAAATAAATAACTAAATGCACCAAATGCTATAAAGGAGAAATAACAAAGAAATTTAAAATAAGACTTACTTGGGCTAAGAGTGGATAAAGTGCAACGATGTATAATCATTGTAATAATGTTGCTTTCTCCTTAGTTTTTCTAAAATGTCCACAGAAATGTCTTATACTAACCTTTGTGCTTTTGATTGTAAAATTACAAATAAAGAATTCAACAAACAATAATTTTAAGGAATTCAATAGTGCCAGGAAAACATTTTCCTGGCACTATAGGCTCTTGGCTCTTAAAACCCCTTCAGCCATTTACCTTAACCCAGCGCCAGTCTCCCTCAGCACCGGTGACCTCTCAACCCCCGGCGACGTCTGTTCCAGAGTAGAACCGAATGTGCATACGCGGCCAGAGGTGCACGCGCATTCAAACCCGCTCATTGGAAAGCATTACTCAATGCTTTCCTATGGGGATCTTATTTGACGCTGGACTCTCTGAGGATGTCCAGTGTCAAATAAGTGCGATTTACTCAGTGTAAATCACGAAAACGGCCTCTAGTGGCTGTCAGGTAGACAGCCACTAGAGGCTGGATTAACCCTGCAGTGTAAACATAGCAGTTTCTCTGAAACAGCTATGTTTTCCGCTGCATGGTTAAAACTAGGGGGACCTGGCACCCAGAGCAAGGTCTGGGTGCCTATAGTGGTCCTTTAAGTGAAGTGAAAATAACTTTAACTCACACTGCATTATTCCTTCTTAAACTATCCCTATGTATTTTTAACGGAAACTAGTTGTCATGGAACCTTGTAAATTACACCACGATTTAAATACTTACAATCTTCAGTATGATGCAATTTTATGCATTTAGTGTTAAACAAACATATAGGAAGATAAGTAGCCAAAAGTTGGAAAATACACCACAATTCACTGTTTAGTGAATACAACAGAGTCAAATTTTATTTACAATATAGAAACTGTGTTCTTTTTCTAGATTAATTTGTCACAAACACGATCTTTTTAATGTAATGGTCAGGGTGCAAATAACTGGTTTAAAGCATCCAAAGCCTATCTTTCACAAATGTGATAATATAGATTTTTGACAAATGTGTTGCCTATCCAAATCCACCCAAGCTTGAATGGCTACGAACAGAGCTTAGAAGTGTCCATTTAAACTTAAGGTATACATCAACAAGAAGTCTTAATTTGCACTACTGATTCACAGGACCATTATCAGCATTACTAGAAAATGGCTGCAGTGTTACAAATGGTTCATTTAATTTCTGTTCTTCTTTTAAAATAACGGTCTGTCCTGAAATTGAAGAAAAAGTGAGTTGGTCATTTTCAGCTATGGCTTCTTGGTCTTCATGTTTTTTTCTTTTCACGTGGAACATTTTTCTCAATGTTGTCAGTTGTGGCAGTTCACAGAAAGTTTCCAACACTATAAGCATTGCAACTAGGCCCAATAACAAATAGCCTGTAGAAAAAAACCAAAGAAAAAAGAAAATTACAATTATTTTTTACCTATATATTCACACACAGTTTTGGAAGAAAAAAAAATAAACCAAAAATAGACATATGCCTGAATTATACTTTATTTTCCAACCCTGAATATAACCATGGTTATTCACTAAAGTCAGAATAGCCATGTATTGAATGGAGCAAAACCATTTAACTCAAACCCAGACACGGTTCGCGCTAATTAATAATGTTCAGATTTCACATTCAAGGCTCTTCTTTTGACTGCCGGATAAACTTCATAATATATTTATTGCGTTGTACATGCAGCAAGCAATATGTAGGGGGGGAATAAAAGACAGCTAAAATCCAGAATCATTGTAACAATATGAAAAAAGTGTTTTTTACAGCACTCTTGTATTAACTGTACGTTTAAAACAAAACTTTTTTTTATTTCTTTATTCAAGTTTTACATTATATGATAAGTCAAACTAAGAAAAACATTGTCTATAATCTGTATGTATGGTATTTGAATTGCACCCTTTTACATGCTAATTAACACATACCTAACTACTAAATTAAATGTATGTGTTAATTAGCACTATACCATACATACAGATCTGCACTATAATTTTTTTCTACATGTTCCATATGATCTTGAAAACACCACTGTTATCCATTGAGGAGTATAAAGTATAAATCATTTCTTTCTTTTGACTCACTAATTTTGGTTGCACGTGGGAAGGGGCTGATCACCTTTACATTGCTCTACTATAAATGTTTTCTTAAGATGTTCTGATATGTGATGAAGGGATCACATTGAAGTGTTGCAGCTGGATGATATAATATTTTTTACTTAAATAGTCTATTTTTAAATTTGTGAAACAATATATATGCTTTATCTGCTTTATTTCTATAAAGCTCTTTAGCGCGCTGATATCACCTGCCTTAACTTATTAATAGAAAGTTATGTGGAAGGGAAAAGTATGGAAGAAAAAGGTGCACAAGCAGCAAGGATGACCGCAGCCTGGAGAGGATTATCAGGTAAAGGCCATTCAAATGTGTTGTGGACTTTCACAAGGAGTGGACTGAGGCTGGAGTCAGTGCATCAAGAGCCACCACACACAGATGGATCCTGGACACGGGCTTCAGATGTTGTATTCCTCTTGTCAAGCCGCTCCTGAACAACAAACAACGTCAGAAGCGTCTTACCTGGGCTAAAGAAAAACAGACCTGGTCTGTTGCTCAGTGGTCCAAAGTCCTTTTTTCTGATGAGAGCAACTTTTGCATCTCATTTGGCAACCAAGGACCCAGAGTCTGGAGGAAGAATGGAGAGGCACCCATTGCAAGATGCTTGAAGTCCAGTGTGAAGTTTCCACAGTCTGTGTTGATTTGGGGAGCCATGTCATCTGCTGGTGTTGGTCCACTGTGCTTCTTTAAGTCTGGGGTCAACACAGCCGTCTACCGGGAGATTTTGGAGCACTTCATGTTTCCTTCCACAGACTAGATTTATGGGGATGCTGACTTCATTTTCTAGCAGGACCTGGCACCTGCCCACACTGCCAAAATTGCCAAAGCCTGGTTCAATGACTGTGGGATTATTGTGCTTGATTGGCCAGCAAACTTGCCTGACATGCCTGGCATTGCCAAGAGAAAGATGAGAGACATGAGACCGAACAATGCATAAGAGCTGAAGGCTGCTATTGAAGCATCCTGGTCTTCCACAACACCTCAGCAGTGCCACAGGCTGATAGCTTCCATGCCACGCCGCATTGAGGCAGTAATTGCTGCAAAAGGGGCACAAACCAAGTACTGAGTCCATATGCATGCTTATACTTTTCAGAGGTCCGATATTGTTCTATGTACACTCCTTGTTTTATTGATTTCATGTAATATTCTAATTTACAGAGATTGTGGATTTGGGGTTTTCATGAGCTGTAAGCCATAATCATCGCACTTATGACAAATCACGGCTTGAACTATCTTGCTTTGCATGTAATGGGTCTATCTCATATATTAGTTTCCCCTTTTACGTTGCATTACTGAAATAAATTAACTTTTGCACGATATTCTAATTTTTAGTGTATCACCTGTAAATGCTACAGATTTTTTAATATTTAAATGCTTTTCCTTTATTCTTATAGAAACCATCTTCCATCTGTCTTTAATGCTCTGTTTGGTTTACTATTTCTGGCCAGATTGACTTAAAGTTTCTGTTCGTTCTGTTGCCATAAGGGTATGAATTAAGAAAAATGTATGTTTTAAATGAAACAAAAAAACAATTGAGGTAAGCAGTTAATTTGTTTAGTACATAGTGTTGAGAATATTTTTTTTGATATTCCTTTTGAGCTCTGAAAGACCTTCGCACTCCCACCACATGTTGTATATTGTGTCTTCCTGCTTTGAACATCTTCAACATGTGGTTGAATAGTTATGCTTACATTTTTTAATTCGGTCTGGGGTTAAGTACTATCTATGCATGATCTTAAAAAATGTTTTATGCAATGTTAAACAGTGCGTGGCCTTCTTTACCTGCAGAAACGCTTCCCCCAATTGTTCATATTAAAGGATTTCCCCATTTAATTTTCCCATTTATTCATGGATTTGAGATTATGAGAGGTCCTTAGAATGTCGGTTATTGCACTAACTTTGGAAATTAGTTTGTTTTTATGTTGTGTGCAAATAAACCTTTGAAACTCTGGATGAGCTTCGATTTCCTTTTTATCAATAAAATATTTAATTTTTTTTTTCTAAATGTCAAAAGGAATTAATTTGTTCCCCATAGTAATCTGTGTCAATTTGTGGATGTTCGAATTTCTCCATTTACTCAAATTAATATCGGGAATCATATATTGCAAGGCCTCAATTGGGGTGGAGGATAATAATTTGTCAGAAATTTTAAAATTATCCTTAAATTCTCTTAAAGCTGAAAGGATATCACCTACTATTGGGTTGTATGTCAGGAAGGATTTATATTGTACCCGACTAAGCCATACCACTTGGTTAAGAGGGATGATGGGAGACAGGATTACTTCTAATGGTTTCCGGCTAGGGTTAAATAAGGGTAATAAATTCCATTTTAAAAAGTGAGTAATCATAATGCTTTCAT